TCTCGAATCACCAAGTATCCAACCTCAAGTGAACTCTCACCTAGAAGACATTAATTCAAAAATGAGCAAACTTAATTATTCTTAGATAAAATAATATATAAGAACAGCACTTAGTACAGCACGAACAGTGTACTTTATAATGTGCACTCTATTCTCAAATACGAGAATATAATATGGCAAGCCACAGAGCTAAACAACATTCAAAATACAAAAGAGAATCATTCAAACAAATACGAAATACAAAAGACTGCAGAACCTCATTTCAAAAAACTTAACATACTTCCACTGGCCTTATTATTATTATTATTATTATTATTATTATTATTATTATTATTATTAAAGCCTTTGACCGAGGCACTTTTCCGAGCGAATGGAAATCTTCGTTCATACTACCCATCGTGAAGTCTGTTGACAGAAATGACATCAAGAATTACCGACTGATTTCCATTCTGAGTGTTACCCAAAACTTTTTGAATCCTTGATTATGGATAAAATCGGAATTGCTATTTATCTACATCTTTTGGTAGACAATTTGGTTTTATGCCTGGGAGAAATATAGAAGCTAATTTGTCCTATCACTCCTGTTATATACTAGAAGCTATGGAACATAAACTTCAAGTTGATTGTATATAGACAGATTTTAGCAAGGCATTCGACTCTATAAACCATGCGATTTTGCTAGTTAAAGTGGAGCGTTTGGGGGCCAGTGGATCATTACCAGAGTGGTTTCACAGTTATCTGGCTCATTGAGTTCAGATGGTTTCATATAAGAGTATTGTTTCCAATCTTACAGAGGCATCTTCAGGTATCCCTCAGGGGTCACACTTAGGTCCTCTCTTATTTAACATCTGTATTAATGTCATATGCGACAGTATATTGAACGTGTAATATTTGTTTTTTGCAGATGACCTTAAAATTCTTTTAAAAATGCAATCTGATGAAGACAGAGTCCTTATGCAAATAACCCTAAATGACTTATATGCGTGGTGCGTGAAGAACGATTTTTTTCTCAATATTGCGAAATGTACAACTATAACTTTTTCAAGATCTAAATCTAACGAAACCTCTATATGATGAATCTCAGTCCACAAGAGAGAGTCTATACCATTAGAGATCTGGGCGTGATTTTCGATTCCACAATGACTTTCACAGATCATTTTCATCACACAATAGTCAAATCAAACCAAGTCTTAGAATTCAGTAAAAGATTCTGCCACGAATTACACTCAGTAGTGGTCTTGAGATCACTCTCTCTTATGCTCGTCAAGCCAATATTATGTACTCTTGTGTGGTTTGATCTCCCATTTTTTTCGAAATATAAATCACAAATTAAAACAGTCCAACACACATTTTTCAGAATGTCAGCCTATGGTTTGGGATTTGTTTGGGATTCGTTTATAAAACATGAATATATTGACTTTGCTCTGCAATTGCACATTCCTTCACTGAGTTGTTCGAGAGACTTGCACGACTTGCTGTTTTTGAGAAAACTGATATTGGGTGAGGGCGATTGCAAAATCTTTCAAAACCAAATAGTGTACAAAATACCTAACTTTAATTCTAGAACCAAAGATATTTTTGATATTATTTGATATATTTGATACTGTCAATCTTACACAGCAAATAATGTTATCAATCGATGTTGCAAATCAGTCAACAGTTTGAATATTGATATATGTGAAACGGATAAATCTGTATTATTTTCGTAAATAAAAGACAATAATAATAATAGTAATAATAATAAATAAAAAATTAATTAATTAACCATCACACAAGTTTGGCTTAGGTTTAATTCAGAAGGACAAACTCTCATGTGGTAGCATGACACATACCTGAAAAATTTAGTGACAAGGTTGACATCATTTACAATTGTAAACATTTATGACAACCAACATTTATTGGCAAAAATGCTGGGTAGCAGTGAAACAAACATCTCAAAGTTTCAAAAGATTTATTCACAATACTTTTGGCAAAATGTGTTCAGTATCAGAAGTTCCTTGGGATAGGCAAGGTGGGCAGTGCCTTCCCTAGGTGATTAATTGATTATTGTTCTTGCCCATCAACTGCTATGGTTATTAGTTCCTTTAGTGTAGTAAATGTTTATCCTGGGAAATGACAAGTGTTCCTTCCAATAATGAGATACAACGCCATCCTATATATAAGTTTGCAGTTTTCCCTCCAAGTATCTTCCCCAGCCAGGCACTAAACTCCTGATATGTGTAGTAGTGTGTGTTAGTAAATGTATGAGTAAGGGGAAAGGATAAGACTAGGAAGAGGAAGGAAAGATTGCCCGCGGTTCATTGTCCATTTGTTGGTGATTGAATATAGAAATCATGGAAAAATTCTGATTATTGATTGGCCACTAGAATTCTCCAAACAGTGGCTAGCTCTTAGCTTTCAACCTCACTATTTAGCTAGTGTCAAAAAATCTGCCACCATCGGGATTTGAACATTAGAACCTCCCAGTCAGTATCACCGCAGTGGCAAGTGTTATCATCCTGAGCCAATAGTATACAAGTGATGAATATGTTCTGTCAGTTTATTACATTTCAAAAATAATAATATTTAAATTGCTCATAGTTCCTGTAGGTCTTTTTCATCTGGAAATATAAAATAAACATTTCAGTATTGAGGTATGAATTGTATTCTCAGTTCAAGCATTTTATAACATAAGCCTGCACAATCAGTCTCATATTCTTCCTGTGTTATCTTGTGCATCTGAGTAAGCATGTCCAGAGATTGCCTTCCTTCATACTGTGTTACTTTCTAGATTTAAATCTGTTTTGCCATAGGATCATTCCATGTGAGGTACACTAAAGCTCCCCATTTGTCTTCAGCTTTCGTTGAAATTCTACACATATGTAACATTTGAAACATATGTAAAGTTGTAGCTTCATGGATGAAATAGTTTTGAGAGTAGTTCTATGTAGCATTGTTTACAGTATATCTACACATTTTTATATCTTTGGGATATGAATTTCCTTCTCTGTTATTGCCAAACAGATGAAACTGAGATTATTTATACTACTTTTTTCTCTGTATTCATTGGAATCCTGCCGCGGGTGGCCTGGGAGCCAAGTTTGCACTACCACCCCGCGGGTTCAGCTATTTAGGTCTTGGTCCCTCAGCTATATAGGGCGAGTCGAGTTGAGCTTCTATATTACCAGCATGGAGGAAAGGGTTAGACCCCTTTCATATTTATCAGTTGAGCCAAATAATGTGACAACTGATGTTTGTTGCTAACTCCTGGTGTAGGAACTTGACCATCCTTGATAATTTTTTCCAGTATCTTTCAAGAACATTCCAAGATAATTATCAAAAAATATGTTGGGGTTGGGGTGTCAATGTTAAAAAGCATTTTTTGGGTACTGCTAAGAAGACAGAAATTGCGTATTTTTTGCTGTATTTCTTCCAAGTTATTTCTTCAAGTTTGAGGAGATGGCACATGTGCTGATTTCTTCTTTTTACCATTTTCCTAGGAATAATTGTCGAAATTTCTAGAATTTTTTCTAGGAATCATTCCAGAAAAATAATCTGTGTATATTTTTGGGGGGGGGGCTGGTGGGGGGGAGAACACACACACCATGTGCCACCAATTTTCAAGAAAAGAACTCACAAAAATGTTTCTAGTCGCTACAAAATGAGTGGTGTTTTATAAGTGTGTGATTTAACATGGAACAGTTCAATGCAATTTTTAAAAACATATTGCGATTGCTTATTGTTATTTTGAATCACTAAAATACATTATATGTTGTTTTCAGGGGAAGTGATGGAGAAAATTGTTGATAAAATTTTAGATCACAAACATGCACAAGAACTTCATGAAATATCCCTTAAAGCTGAAAGATATAAACTTGAAGGTAAGACTTGTTACACATTCAAATTTTATGAAGTTGTTACATACAAATATCTGATAAATAGAATCCTTATATTAAACTCATTTCACCATATATTAAATGTAAAATGTGTGAAGTGGAACATCAGATACACAGAAATAGAAAAAAGATTATGAAATGAAATCTCTGAATGTTTTAAAGGACCTCAAATTCTGAACACTTTGGAAAACACTATAAAGAGGAAGACTTCTAATCGATAATTATAAAATACTACTCAAATTTCACTGAGGATATATTACAGAAAAACACAGTAAATGGTACAAATTTAAAAGGATTTGCTGCAAAAAGTTACTTTAATACTTAAAGTAAAACATCAGTCAGATATTCATAAAAACCTATGAATTGACAAAACTTACATAAATAGGATTTTAAGTAGTCAAGTAAGCATATTTGCTTCCTAGTTCTTCTGGTCTGTATCACAACCATTTCTTGCTCCAAATGAGAAAGTTGTGCTATTATTGTGTCCTCAAGTTTGTGGACCCTCATAAACATACTAAATGTTTAAAATCCTTCAGCTGCCTTAGTATTTGAGGGCACAGGGTTGTCTTCCATCTCAGTATCACTTTCATTCTCAATGCTTCTCTCAGCATATTCCTCAACACTCAGCTCTCCTCTGGTTACCATATTATCATTTATGGTCATGAAGTCCTCAGTAGTGAAAGAATTATTGCCTACTTCTTCATGGAACTCCTAAAATTCACTCCCAACATCTTTCAATGTTGCAACCATTTTGATATCATGGAATCTTACTGTCTTGAAAGATATTTTGTTAGTTTCAGCACTCACTTCCCTCTATGAATACATAATCAATAGAGCCCAGAAGTTTGGCAAAATGCCTTTTTATTATTTTTACTATTTTGTGATCTAACAATAGGAATCACTTAGTTATACTTCTGGAGTTGTTTTAATACATTTTCATTTTGCCCTTTTCTACCTACTTTAGCCAATTTTTGGAATTTGGCCATAATTTAGCCTTTTTCATTCTTTTCTGTCATTATTTAGTTTTTTTCTCCTGGCACCAATCTTGATAAAAAGAAACATTCCTGCATACTGAAGAGCAAGAAGATATGGACTTGTTTAGTTTTCCTGTGGAAGCAGAGACTTCAGGACAAGATGAGGGTTAAAAATCTAAATAAGAGAGGGCGATGATACAAATCAAAGTTTTTTGGTTCTTTTTACTCTCCCGTTATACATACGTATATGCAGAGTAATATACATAGTATAGGGAAAGTTATGTAATGCTGTGGAAAATCGATTTCAAGATTTCAACAGAAATACACATTTTGGGGTCTCCTGATACCAAAAAAGTGTTTTTTTTTTAACGTCTGTCCATTCATCTGGTGTATGTTAACAACACTAGCATCTACACTATGCATAGACTTTTTCCAAACTGTAGAAACCCCTGTCCATTTGGCCTTCAAAACTTTGAATTTTTTGGGGGGTCTTCCTGCAACTACAAAAATAAGATAGAGATTTTTCCTTCAAATTAAATTTGTCATTAAGGTCATGTAAAGTTTTTGAAAATTTTAGTAGTTTCTGCACAAGACTGTGAAATTTGTGCAATTTTAAAACATTAAAAAAAATTAAATTTTTTGTAAAATAGCTCCAAATTGTTTCTTTAAACTTGTGGTAGGGATAGTGCTAAATGTTCTCTATAAGGTAACTTAGAAACCATATTGCTCCATTATTTTGTTTCGCAGAAAAGCTCAAACGTCATTGTCACAAAATCCGTCCCATATTTGTTAAAAGGTTTTGTATGGATTTTTACACTGTTTGATGTGACATAAAAGCAATTCTTTTCTTTTGTTTTGTTTTCTCAAAAATTACACAAATGTAATTTCTTTGAAGTATTTCTCAGGCCTTAATATGCAAATTTCCAGCAATTTATAAACATTGTATTTTGCAAAATACAAAAATGTAATTTTTTTACTTGTCTCTTTGATAATATTTACACTAGTGGTGATTTGTTTATATTAATATATTTATGAGTACATGTGGTTTAAATAATGTCCAATAAATTTTGATGAAATCCAACTGTGAAAATTAGCTCAAAATTCTGCATTTTCAGAAATGCTCAAATGCTGTTTTCTCAAAATCGACTCGAAATTTTTTCTTCAAAATTTTGAGTGGATAGTGCTAATTGCACGCTTTAATATGATGTAAAGTTCATTTTGGGCAATTTTTTTGTTTCTTCAAGAATTACTCTATTGTAATATTTTTGAAATATCTCTCAAGCCACTAATATGCACATTTCCAGCTATTTGTAAATACTATTGCATTTGTGACTGGGTGTGCTTGAAACTACTTCATATGAAGTTTTCAGAAACAATAGTTTTCTGTGAAAAGAGGTTCAAATTTCGCATTTATAGAAGGGCCTTTTAAAAATGGATCCAAATTTTTTAAAGAAAATTGCCATTTAGGACAAAGTTTTATTGCTCTTTAATAATTTTAATATAATATTGCCACTCTACAATTAGGAAACCCAAAAATTAAGAAAATGTCAAAATATGTACTTTGGGCGGCGATAAATGGCAGTTGGCAAGAATATATAGTAAGTCCGAGTAGCTCTTCGAGATCAAAGGAAATAAAAAACAAATACGAGAAAGTCTATGCCACTAGTTATTGATGCTGTCAGGCTTTGTTTGCTCACAAGAAATCACATGCCACTTTTACAGAATGACCTGTGATCTCTGAATGTAATATACACTTCTCACACTTACACAAGTGTGAAGAACAAAAATTGTAATTCTCTTTTCACTGCTGCCATTTCAAGATTCAAAAGAAAGCTCACAATTGCATTTTGTAAAAGGTGTTGCGAGTAAAACAAACTTGTAGTTTTCATGGAGGGTGGCCATGTGCAATCAAGATTAGAATGAAAACTATTGTTTTCTTCCACGTAAGTTCTAATGTAAATTTTAGATTTAGAATAAAATTGTATTATATGATTTTGATTATTCATTTTTTATAATAATTACTTCTAAAGGTGATTTTTTATTGTTTACTAGCCTTATTGCACCCCTATTTCAGCCAGAATTAATGCCTTTTTTGCATGCCATCTTAAGTAAAAATAAAGGCTTTTTTGTTTGCCTACTTTAGGTTAAAAAATTCAAGAACTTTCGGGCTCTAATAATCAAATTCATAGCTTGTATGAATTCATATTTATCTTCAACTGTGAGTTCCTGTCTTTCGTTGGTCAATGGCATTCAAGACCTTCCTTTCTTGACTTGTTCTGTATTTAATCTTATAGACACGTACTATTATGCCTAAGTCCAGAAGTTGCAGAAGGCTGGTGCAATTCGGAATGCTGGAAAACCACTTTGTACATGACATTTTTTAATTAGCCGATTTTTTAGAACGAATTTTCTTGAAAATGAAATTCTGGGTCTTTCATTTTGAAGATTTCAAATGTTACTATTTGCAATTTTCAAAAATACCAAGAGTTTTTCTGGAAATGAGACCAGCACCTTTTTTTACTGTCTTTTGATACATACGAAGATAAATTTTGAAGAAAAAGATAAGAGCATATTTAAAAAAAAAAAAAATTGTGTAAAAAATCTAAAAATTACTCAAATTTCCCCGAAAATTGCATAAAAACTACTTAGATTTTCGAAAAATTGTACATTACCTTATTTCAAGATGTCTTTAAAGAACATATTTCAGTAAGGAGAAAAATATATAATTTCCATATTTTGTTGCTGGAAGATGCCGAAAAAAATAAACTTTCATAATTTTCTCAAAATCAGCTTTTGCAACAAAACTGAAACCTGCACCATTCTGTTCAACATCCTTTATGCTATTTGGAAACAAAGAATAATAAAAGAATTTGGAGCCATTTTTGAGAAAATTTTGAAAGCCTTCCAATAGGTTCATGAAAAGTACCCCCCAAAATTTAAATATCGGTTTCAAATTGAATGTCCGCAACATCAGACTAATTAATCAGGGAATATCAATTCTGGGGAAAATTGGCTGTATGCTTTAGGCTCAAGTATTGACTACAGATGGATGGATGGACAGACAGGTTTCTTGCTGCCAATCGATTTTTCGGTATCAAGAACACATAAAACATGGAATCTGACTACACAACATACTAGAGGAAATAATGTACTATATTATGTGTAAACACAATTTATCCACTTTTTTATTATCAGGGCCTGGCAATGTGTTTTTGTGTTTAAAATTAACCGCATTCCGCCACACAATTACAATATTTTCTCTTTCAGCATTATTTTTTACTTAATTTCTATTTGTTGAGATGTTATTAAATTTACATTTTATGATTGCGAAATCAGAGCCGAATTAGTTTGTTGGTTATTTAATGTTTTCTTTACATAGTGTAAAGTATACTACAAATCTTTAGTGAACATTTTTTTAATTGCTCTGGAAAACTGGGAAGAGACTGGGCAATTAATTCCAGGAAGTGAGTGGCCATCTTGTACAAATAGTATGGTCAAATCAGTCTTGGGCTGGGCCTTTGAGCAGATGAGCCCTAGTACCTGGACCCTAAGTCTGTAGGTTTAAAATCCATGTAGCTGGAATATTTTCAATTCAATTTTTGTCGTGGGGTGCATTCTCAGTCTCTTGTGTATTACATCAACACCTTAATCTTGGCATAATCATTTGCCTGATCAGTATCTGTGTGTGTGGCCTCTTTAGTGAGAATTGCTTCCATGAGAATGGGTGTACCTGCGGTAGGCTCTGGTAAGACCTTCAATCACTAATAAATGATAGTGGACTACTGGGTTTCTCTTGTTTGTTCAAACCTTGGTCTAAAATATGCTAAAGGCCTTTCAGGTTAATTAGATTCTAAAATAAACAAGAAAGTGTTAAAAACAGGTTTCCAGATGCCAGAATAAATATGTTAATTAATGTTAAGAAAATGATAAAAAATATTAGATATTTTTAGACATAGATTGATTAATTTATTTTTCCTTAAAATACATTTTTGTTCCTTTTTATCTGTAGTCAGATAATTCAGCTACTTCTGGATGTTGGATTACAATCCAAGTTTTATTACAAAAGAGTCCTACAATTCGAAATTTCCATATTAGCATTTCCGAAAAACATTGTATTCGTTACGTAGAAAATGCATTTATTTCAATTAATTAAAATCAGAATAGGAGGTAGAAAAATAGCTGTACTTGTTGCCAAAATTATTCTGTGGAATTGAATTTTTAGGCACTAGGTAAATAAATTAACAGTTTATTTATGTGATTTAATATATTTTTCAGCTGAACATTGGCAAAAGCTGGTTAAAGATCTAAAGCAAGAAGAAAAAACTGTTGGTAATTATTGATTTCTTTTCTTGTCAGTTTCTAATTTCTTCATTTTATTTAAGGTATGAAGTTGGTATGTTAACACTGATACAAGAGAACTATTGTACTATTTTATGTTTCAGAAAACAAAGAGGAGGAGGAGAAGAACGAACAAATAATGTCGTGTTTGGCTGAATTATTATTGCAACTACAAGAAACTGGACAATCCAAATATCAAAAGTATATGTGATTCTATTTTATATTTATAGCTTAATTACATATATCTGTGCATAATTACTGTTACAATACCTAGTATTAAAATTTTAATACCAATACAGTACCATAATTATATTTTAAATATTAAAGACACAATAATGTTTTCAGGTACCATAAGCAAGCAAATTGTTCCAGAATGAAAGTTACTGTCTTCAAATGTACTATATCTTTTTTATTGCATGCAAACATTTTCAAGTTTTTATGATTTTTTAAAATGTCACAGCTTAGAACTTGTATTACTATAGTTGATAAAGTGAATGATATCCTTTATTAAAATTATCTGAAAATATTGGTTAGAAATTCATGAATCAATTATCAGCATTTAGTCTAAATTTTAATTACAAAATATTCAGAATAAAAACACTAACAAAAATATAAACTCAATACAATAATACAATGAAATCTCAGTATAAAGTACTTTTTTTCTTTATACTAAAAAGTACTTCAAATTGCAAACACAGTTTTAACTAATTTATTTTAAATAGTTTGCCCAATAAACAAAAATAATGGAGAAAAGTACATACAGTATCACTCTTTAAAATATTATCTGATGGAAATTTGTCTTTTTGAGAAAGTTGCTTTCCACAAACTGTTCTATCTGAAATGATGATTTGAGAACTGTCTCTGGAACGTTTATACTTTTAACTTCTCAAGACATTTCATTGCCTCTGTTGAAGATACTGCTTCAATCTTTTCTTCCTCTACTTTTTCCTCCTCCTCATTATTTTCTTGTTATGTAATCAAAGATTCCACAATGTCACAATCTGTAAGGCAGTAATTTGTTTCAGTCCCAGCATCAATATTGACATAATCATCATATGTAACAGTTGATGGAAGTTCTAACTCTTTCAGAATTTGTTCCCATACCTCACAATGATCTTCACAAGTCTCAACCTCTGACATAGCACTGTCTTGGAAATCCAAAATTTCTGACTTTCTCCAACAGTTGGTGTCCAATTGCTGTTCCACCAAACCCATGCTAACATTTGTATTCCTTGCAGGATGTTGATTTTGGTAAGAACTTTCAATTTAAGAATGATTAGAATCCGATGAACCAGTTGTTTACGAAAGTTGACCTTTGCATTATGAATAATTCCCTGGTCTAGTGGATGCAGTACAGAAGTGCAGTTGGAAGAGAGGAATTCAATATTGATATTTTCCAACCAGCAGTTTACTTTATGAGCAGAGCAATTATCTATCAACAACAGGATTTTCCTTTTCTGCTTTCCAATATCTCTGTCCAGCGCAAGAAGCCAGTCAGCAAACAGTTCTTTGGTCATCCATGCTTTCTTATTGGCTGTATGTTTTACTGGCAGAGATTCTACACCTTTGAAACATCTAGGCTTTATGTAAATGTCCTTCTACTAGGCTTCAATTTTTTAGTACCAGTGGCATTACAATAAAATAATGCTGTTAATCTTTCTTTTGGCTGTTTTCCACCTTCACACTTTTCTTCCTTTTAAGACCTTGTTTTATTAAGCAACATATGATAAAAAATGCAGTTTCATCTGCATTGGAAATATCATTAGGATCATAATTTCCATTACATTTCTCAGATGATGTTCCTTCCCCTCTCGAGCAGCGTTCATGTCAGCATCTTTAGCTTCCCCAACTACAGCCTTCCAAGTAATGCCATTCCACTCATGAAAACAACAGTTAGTTGCCTGAAAATTCTTAACATCCATTAGTGTTGCAAATTGTCTTGCTTTTTCTTGTATCATTGGTCCAGAAACACAAACTCCACAACACCTAACTTCCTTAAATCATGTGTCTACCGCCTCTTTCACTTTATGAAAATCCCTCAAGCTCTTCTTTTGATCGGGACATATTGCCGATTGTTCATACAATTTCAGAATATTTTCTCCACTTTTCAAAATTGTTGAAACCGAAATTGAGTTCATAGAATACGCATGTGCTATATCAACTTGTTTCATTCCATTATCTATTTTTTTTACTGTCCGCTTTCTGTTCTATTGCGAACTGTCTCATTTTCTTACTTTCCATTGTAACCAAATTGGGTCATAATTTTTATGAACACACTACTAACCGCCACATTCTTAGAAAACTGAAACGACCACAACACAATCAGAGTGTTTGCTTACCAAGACAAGACCAAGACATGAAATGAATTCCCAGAAGATCGTAATATTGGAAATTGGAAAAGTTGGGATTCCCCATCACATGATACAGAAATAACAACTACTGCTACTATCTGCTGTGAACACAGCAAACTAAGTCTTGATCTTCACAAATTCGATTTATATGTAGAATCAGTATGTTATTCAATGTACATTGCGACCAATGTACATAATCATAAAGGAAATGCCATGAAATACATATTCCAGAAAATCTGGGAAGCAGATTCAAAAGGAATGAAAATGTTTAATAATAATAATAATAAAAAAAAAAATCTACATATTTTCACTACTGAAATAGGTTGAGAAAAGAGTTCGTAAAAGTGAAATATCTTTATCTTTTAACTTAGGACATTTAAACAGGGATTTTAAATATGTATGTAAAACTGAAATGTACATAAAACTGAAGTCCATTATACTGAGATTTAACTGTATTATTATTTGTGTAGAATTTTTCATTTAATACCAAAGTTTATTTCGAAATTGAATAAATGATAGAGCTCATTAAATGAATCTTCATCAATTCAGAAAAGCAGTTTCTTAAATTTAAACACAAATAATAATCCAACAATTTTCAGAAAATTGTATGCATTTCCATTTGTACTTTTGTTAAAGTAGTATTCAATCCATAATCAGATTTCAATGTATGTAATATAATAACAATATCCTAATATAGTTTTTGCATGTTTTGGTACAATTTTTAATGTTGTACCCTGAAGTGTGATTTCTTTCAGGAGAACCTGATGTTATTTGTTTACAAGCATCATTAAAAATTGGTATTTTTCAATTCATTTTATCTGCAAGATGTAGGAAATATATTTTCAGTTGTTTTTATGCTGATATTACTAATGCATTTTTTAAGTAAGGAGCCTACAGCATAGCATACATGACACATACAGGCTGCATGCAGTTTGTTACACTTCACAATAGTGCAGTAAAATCTGTCTATGCCGGAATGAATTGGGACAAAAAATATTCCAGTTTAGGGAGGTTTCTATTTCATGCCATGTTTGTTATGTTGATATTTCCTTCCTGAAACTAGTAAATTACATGACTTTATTATATACATTAAAATATATTAACATATAACATATTTATGAAAGAAATCATGAATAAATAAACAAATATCTGACCATTAAAAACATAATTTTCACAATTTGTGCACTAAAATAATATTATATTTTCCATCGTTCATCTAAAGGTTTCTGGTTTTCCCCACTTACTAACATAACTTTAATTATATTTTCTAAAATTGTAAAACTAACATTTGGAGTTTTATGTTTTTTTCCAGCCATTGTTAAACTGGTAGTGAAACTCATAAACACACCATCCTCCACCTCTTCTAGTAGCTGTTTCCAGCATTTTGACATCCTATTTTTAATTTCTCTTTTCAGTTGTTTTTGATGTACTGTGTATTCTCTTCGGATGATTCGTCAGTTTTAGATATTGTGGCAAGACTCCTGACTTAAATGCACTTTTTCCTCAGTTCTGCCATCTGAGGAGACCACCAGTACACCTGCTGCTTTTCCCCTGGGCAACTACGTCTCGGCATAGATGTGGCGAGCATGGCCATCACAATGTCCCTTGATTCTTTAGTTGTTTCAGGAGAATTCTGCTCTTTCTCCCATCCAATGTTCTGTTTTATGACTCCTTTAGAGACTTCTTCGCCTCTGCTTCTATGAGCTTGTTTATGTCCGAGGGCGATCGCCCTCTGGGATTCTGGTACTCCCTTTATATCCACCAAATACTTTTAATGAAAACTAAATGTAACTGTAATCACTGAACGTCTCATCGTTCAGTACCCTTCATTCCTTTACCCTCCTAGCAATGTTATTGGAGACTATCGTCAGATACAGTATGGATGTCGGATCTCCTCTTTGAAAGGTACTCACCCTACCCTTATTGAGAGTGACTTAAGTTGTTTTTGGCAATTAAATCACAGACAATGTCCCCTCTTTTGTGAGTTCCGCTTTCCGCCCATTCTGGTGACTTGCTATTAAAATCGACTGCTCCTACATCTCCCTTTGCTGACTTCAAACGCATCTCTAGTTTTTCTATTTCTGTTTCAAATTTGTCAATGTGGTCTTTAAAGGGGAAGTAGTGACCACAGACCTTTACGTCACCCATTTCTAGCCATAGCCCACAATCACTTTAAATCTAGATACCAGATCTTATTATGGGTTGCTACAGTTACTCTTCTTGAGACATCTTGGTATACCACATGGCTTTGTTGTATGCCTTCGGTTGTTCACTTACAAGCAGCGGGTCTACTCTCCTTTCAGCTGCAGCTTGTATAAGTAAGTCTCGTGCAGCTTTACTTTTTCCTAGGTTAACCTGTAGGAACTTAATTATGGCTGCTCTATCGCTTGTTTAATTTGGTAATAAATGAGGTAATTTTTTTTGCTTCCCAGCATGTGGTCTTCACTCAAGTTTTTATCATTACAAATGACACATTGTGGTGACCCTCTACAAACTTTTATTAGGTGTCTCCCTTTGCCTCATATGTAATCCGTATTTCTCCGGTCTGGGCTCTTGCAGGAGTTGGATATGTGTCTGAAGTCTATGCATTTGAAGGATCTTGTGAGTGGTTGCTAGCTACGTATCTGGCAGATCATCCTAATTTATTCTTCCTTTGCCTTTCTTCAGAAGCTTCAGGGCAAGATCTGAGTGGATCATCAGGATTGTCGCTGTGTTGTAGCAAACCCTCCGATATCTCTTATTATCACTAATGTTTTTGGTGTGAGCGTACTTATTATTGCACTCTCACTGACAGCCTTTATAAGTGCTTCATTAAAAGGAGGTTATGTCCCCGTCTTTGTTAAGGACTAT